CTTCTTTCCTTCTTTTCTTCCTTGGCATTCTTTTGTAACTTTGCGTATTTATTTCTTGCTTCGAATTCCTGTCTTCGGTTTCAAGCACTTTGCTAATTGACTAACCTTTAACTCTAAGAAACATATTTGCCGTGTCTCCAAGTCCCAATGTATTTAATGCCTTACAGCGATAAACCCCTTCGTGCTCCTTCTCTACAGTTATCAGATGGTGGGCGCCATTGTTTGTTATTGCAATGAGATTATCACCATAAAAGAACTGATACAGGTCTGCTGATGGACTTGCTTCTGTTTGACAGTACATAGTCACTGAGTCTTTGATCTGTACAGTGTTTTGAGCAGGACTTGAGAACAACCTTGTGTTTGAAGGTTTATCTGGAAAAAAATATACAAATGAAAAGGGTACGACAAAAACAACGAAATAATAAACCGAAAAACCGCAAACAAGTAAATAAAAAAACAAATAAGGAAAACAAATAAAAAACAAACAAACAAACTAGAAGATCAAGAAATAACAAAAGAAAAATCAAAAACAAAAAACAAACAAACAAATTGACAAAAAATATTAACGAAAGATAGTAAACAGAAAGTAACGAACATAAATAGAAGACAAAACATAATAATAACACATTTTAATGTGTTGTTATTAAAAACATGTGTTGCGTGTTGTAATGTGTCGTGTATATAAAAACAACTAATTAGAGACATATGCAATATGCATTTTTCATTCTCAACCTTTAGAAGAACATGGATATTGATTTCCAGACCCATTTAACTATTTTTCGAATGCACGTTTATTTTAAATTTTATTTTAGTTCTCGGTGTAAGCCACTGACATTTTGTTGAGGAAAAGAGTGTTCTTTTTTTTTTCTTTTTTTCTTTACTTATCCCCGTCTTTCTGCTTCATTCCCCCTCCCCCTTCCCCTTTAAAAAAAAACATGTAACTACTTACATTGAACATCAAGCTTTGTAGAAACACTAACATTCCCAATGATATTGGATGCGATACAAACATACACTCCAGCATCAGCTCTGGAAGTATGGATAAGCTTCAATCTTTCTTCCGATGAATTTAGAGCCCTAAATATCCCATTTTCGAGTTTCATCCATGTAATTATAGGCTCTGGATTCCCAACAGCTTCGCAGTAAAACGATGTATTCAGAGTTTCCAGGATTGTTACATTGATGGGTGGAATGATTATTTCCGGTGTATCTGGAATAATGAAGCAAACATATAATGTCGTATATTTGGTTGTATAATCAAATGCTTTTCATTGGGAATAATCCGTTTAGGAAGCGCAATTGCAATGCCTTGACTTGAGATTGTGACCATTATATAGGATATCAGTTTACCAATCAAAATAAATCAGAACTTGAATTTAAACCAAAAAATAGGAAAAAGAAGAGAAGAGAAGAGAAGAGAGGCAAAACAAAAGAAGAATATGGAGTTTGTTCCCTCCATTCTCGCCGGTATATCTCACTTACAGTATATCTCCAAATGACTTGAGCTTAAAACCGATGTCCCGATGCCATTGTACGCCCTGCATATGTAGTTTCCTGTATCACTGCGTCGGGTACCGTTGATTACAAGAACATTGCTCGTACTCAAAATGCCCGAAACTCCTTCTTTTTGCCATATGATATTAGGGTAGGGGTTGCCAGTAGCATCACATTTTAAAGTAGCAACTGCGCCTTCTTTTAGTTTTATAGTCCTTGGATGGACGGTAACGGTTGGAGGATCTAGAGGTTTGAAACCAACATTAGGTATACTAAAGTGTTCTTTACATATCGCAAACAATGTATACGTCAGTTTGATTGCTATTTCATCAGGTAGGCCAAATGTTCACTGTGATCATGCATTGAACATTAACCTAGATTGCATCTTATTTTCAACTGAAAAAAGGATTGTCATCCATCTGGCATAAACCTAGGACAGCATATGGACCCTTCTCAAAACAATCTTGAATGCAAGGCTAAATGGAAATACTTTCCTGTTATTAGCCTCGCATCCAAGGTAACATTTTGAATGAGAAGGATCAAAAGCAAAGTTGAAGTCAAAGTGATGGGGATCTTTAAGACTACCTATAGTTGGTGCGCAGCCTATTGGCTTTTAACGACTTAATAAAAGTGATGATGATGATGATGATAAAGATGTTGATGTAAAATGCAGCACGAAAAATCTTATTTAAGAAAACTTACATTGCACGTCCAGCTGGGTGCTTACACCTTTTCCAACGCCATAGCTATTCGAGGGGATGCATGTGTATTTTCCAGAGTGACTTCTTTGACTCGACAAATCTTGTGATAACCAGAACGGTTTTCTTTAATCAATTTCTGGTTGTGGTAAATACGATATGTTGGAGAAGGATTTGCAATGCTCGAACATTGCATTACGAACGTCTGGTTTTCTGCCACTTGCTCGTTCAGGGGACAAGTTTCGATGCTTGCATTAATGGGAGAGTAATCTGAAACCAAATTAAGAAGAAAGGTGAGATAGACCTGGGAAAGTGTCAAAGTGATGCAGTTGCAATCCCTCACTCGAACCAAATTAAAAGAGACCTCTGTCATAAACCTCTGTTAAGAGGAGTTGCACGCCGCTCTCTTTGCAAACCCCACCCCCCTCCCACACACACACACTCTTTATCTCTCCCCCTTTTTCTTCTTCTTCTCTCTCTCTCTCTCTCTCTCTCCCTAGCTTTATCTCTCTCTCTCTCTCTAAACAATAAGTTATGAAAACAGCAAACACGTCTTCCCATATGCTTACAAGCTATCCTGAGTTTTCAATATTATTGCGTTAGTTCGGTTCAACGGAAAGAAAACACTCGGCCGCTGCTCAGGTCGTTTCACCGTGTTCACTAACTTGAATGCCTTAATATTTAATAATACTTATTAATATTACTTCTTGATTACTTCACATTTACTAATATTTGTTAATACTACTTACTAGTTACTTCATATTTAATAATACTTACTTTGAACAAACACTGTTATTATGTCATCACTCGAATTCCCAATACCATTGTTGGCCTGGCATTGATACCTTCCTTCATCTGACTTGCTCCTGATCTTTAGGTCCAGAGTACTTTCCAAAGACAATACACGGGAGCGCTTTTCTATCTTATACCACCTTATTGATGGCTTGGGGTTTCCGGTCACATGGCACCTTACTTTAACGAGGTCACTCTGATTCGCGACGGTGCTTTTTAAACTCACAATTGCTTTAGGAGAATCTGTAATTTAGAAAAAACATAAGTGCGAGTTCTAATTTTATGGTCAATTTTCAATGTCAACCTATGCATACCTAAACTAAGCAAAAACTTCTGCTTGGTTTTGGCTATAAAACAAAGTTATATTCATCGACACATGGGGACTTAGCCGTGCACCGGGTCATAAATATAGCATTTGTCTTTTCTTGCGCCTCATGGCTGCAATGAGTACGACTCAATACAATGGGTAATGTCTCTTACTTATGAATCAACACAGAAAACAAACAATCAAAGTAAAGGCATAAAAGTATGTGTTATTTTCTCGCGCCTCATGGCTGCATCGAATATGGCTCAATGCAACAGGTAATGGCTTTTAGCTATAATTCAAGACAGCCAATAACAAACAACAATCAACTTAAAGACATAAAAGCATGTGCCATTGACAATTTACCATTGTCAGGAAATTGTCGACAATTATATCAATGATGCTTAATGACTTACACTTTACGTCAATGTAGGCTGATCCATTTGCAGCACCAATTCTGTTCCATGCTTTGCACACAAATACACCACTATTATTTCTTGTCATTAATATATTCAATGTCTTCCCTGAGTGGATGCGCTGATAGGAAGAGTCAATTCGATACCACTCAATGCTTGGAACAGGGATCCCAGTAGCATTACAGTACAAAGAAACCACGGTATCTTCAAGCACCGTTCTATTCCTTGGATAGTGGGTTATTTTTGGTTGATCTGAAAGTTGAGAATAATTCTTTAAGGAAAAGTATGTTGACAATGAAATGTGTAGATATTAATCAAGTGAGGCCATACACTGCATAATTTGTATATGTTGACAACGTTCCTTTAGAAACCCGTTTGTTCATGAATAAAAAGCAATAAACTAATTCAAACCTATTGCATCTTGTGTAAGCATGCCTTATTTAGTGTTTACGAAAGAAATAGCACTGACTTCATTGCTCCACGGTGATCGAGAGAAATGCTGCAACATGCAAATTGGACAATAGACTTCCATCATTCAAACATAATATTAGACTAGTTTTCTAGTAATCTTTCTACGGTCCCCATTAACCTTTATGTACTCTAACGATTCATTTGATTGACTAATTATAAAGTCTATTGCCAATTTTTTATGTCGCGACTCGTCGTGACTATTGTCTCAATCAGCGCGTAACAATGAAATCAATAGTAAACATTTATTTATTTTCATTTAAATTTCTTACCTAGCACAAACGCTTGCACACAATTGATATCACTTTTAGCAGAATAATGTACTTCGCAACAATATATAGTCTCGTCGCTCATTTCCACCTTGTTTATATTCAACGTTACTGCCCCAGTTACATTAATAATGTTTCTAAAACTTGCGTATATCTCTACACGGCCGTCAGCCATCTTGATCGCCATGGTTTGTCTAGCATAGCTGTGCTTTGCATCTTTGTATCTTGTAATAAGTAAGAATTTGAAGACCTCGCCATTAGGAATATTATACTTCCACTGTAGAGATGCATTGCGTCCGCGAATTAACTCTGTATTGATGTTAGGCTTCTGTATCCATTCAAGTAATCCATCTGAATATGATAACTTTAAATAAGCTACTTAAGTTCGAAGTTGGTGAATAGATTAAACGCAAAGTATGTAGTGGAGGATATTGAGTTGCCGCACATCACACATCTCTGAGTCATCATCCGTCAGTTTTATAGAGATAACATAAATTATTAAAGAATAAATGATGAATATAATTTTTGCGTCATGAATATATATACACTTGGTATGTCTTTTCTTATTATATGATACTAACAACTGTAAACAAGCGACAAAAATGCAAAAAAAGATGTGAATAGTTGCGCTTTTAATAAGGTTTTTTTTTTATTTTTTATTTTTTTTTTTATTTTTTTTTTATTGGTATCTTAACCTCAAATAACTTGATTTTACTAAATGATCGAAGAAACAGACCTTTGTAATAAGCATTTTCCACATAATCCCTATCAATAGTCAATTCAGCATTCAGCAGTTGCAAAACCAGTTCACTTAAAGATCATATACGCTGACAATTAATTTCATTTTTTATTATTTGGTTTTCCAAACTAAATTGTACTGGAATAAACTGATAGAGGTATATAGATATGTATAAAATTGCAATAACATACCTGACATTGTCAAATAAGACATCATTATATGAAATAGCATTTGATAGCATAGGCTTTCGTTGTTCTTCATAGTTGTTCGATGTTAACGAGAAGTTTTTCATTCATAAGTTTTAGATTTGCACTTTGCCTTTTGTTTTATAAACATAAAATAATTCAAAAGTCCAACAACAAAAAAGTTTTTCCCCCAAATATAAATGATTGAGTAACACTCTAAAAGCACTATATTGCATTGGAACTGTTATAAAGCGAAAATACAGAAATATAAAAATTCACTACGAAAAACATATACCACCCACGCTGGGCTAGTAGGAAATCGACCAATCCTTAGGAGTTTGCATTGACATTGTTTGCACGTTAACAAAATACTACATCGAAATCTGCTCAAGCTGTTTCAATATAAATTCTCAACGTCCATCACTCGAACCAATCTTGAATCATTTTTTTCAGTAAATCATATCGCTAGCTTAAGCAGTTGTTTCAACAACATAATTTTTACTTTCCCCTTCTCACCATCCCTTGGGAGCACAAGCATGGGAGGATCCAGTAGTTTGCTACGGGGGTGTTCCAAATGAAAAGTACATATAGATATATTATGCATCGCAAATTCAGCGATAAGAATTATTAGGGGGTTTCTGGTGCACCGCAGGGATTGTGATTGTTTATATTTTCTTGACAACAAATAAACTAAAAGATGCCGTATGCCGTAAAAGTACAAGTTTCTTGTCAACCATAAGATGATTGAGAAGATACTAAAGTATTCTGACAACAAAAACCAATCACAATGCGCCATTGAGATGTTTGTGTTTTAGCGCGCCTAATATGAATATGTCCTTAAAACAATAGGCATTCTACGCCATCGGCCCTTTTTGAAAAGTGTGAACGAGTGCTAATTGTCCTTTTGAAGCGTATGAACGAGTTCTTGCTTACCGTCCTTTCGAAGCGTGTGATTGAGTGCTAATCGTCCTTTTGAAGCGTATGAACGAGTTCTTGCTAACCGTCCTTTTGAAACGTCTGAACGAGTGATAATCGTCCTTTTGAAGCGTGTGAACGAGCATTACGAACTGTTAGCATTAAATTGGGGCTCATTGGTCTAAAAGTTGAAAGGAGTTTACGGCCTACTACCCTTTTGTAATTGTAGTAATTTTAAGGTGAAGTGAAATGTACTAAATGATGTTATCATACAGGTTGAAGGGAGAAATTATCGAATAACACGGGTCAAAATCGAATGGATCCAATTATCGTATAAAACGATTCAAAATCGAATGGATCCAAATATCGAATAAAATGGGTCAAAATCGAATGGATCCAAATATCGAATAACACGGGTCAAAATCGAATGGATCCAAATATCGAATAAAATGGGTCAAAATCGAATGGATCCAATTATCGAATAACACAGTTCAAAATCGAATGGTTGAGTATGTCGAACAACTCGAGTGAAAATCGAATGGATCCAATTATCGAATGAAATGGGTCAAAATCGAATAGATCCTATTATCGAATAAAACGGGTCAAAATCGAATGGATCCAATTGGATCTATTCGATTTTGACCCGTGTTATTCGATAATTGGATCCATTCGAATTTGACCCATTTTATTCGATAATTGGATTCATTTGATTTTGACCCATTTTATTCGATAACATGGGTCAAAATCGAATGGATCTAATTATCGAATAACACGGGTCAAAATCGAATGGATCCAAATATCGAGTAACACGGGTCAAAATCGAATGGATCCAAATATCGAGTAACACGGCTCAAAATCGAATGGATCCAAATATCGAGTAACACGGGTCACAATCGAATGGATCCAAATATCGAGTAACACGGTCTCATGCAGTAATGACTGGGACGGGAAAGCGCAAATAGCAGCAAATGCTTAGGGTTCACTATGAAGCAATTAGATTCTTATTATATTAGAAACCAAATGTGTTCTAGTTACATTTTTCAATTCCATGTTTCTGAACACAAAACGATTTTTATAAGGTTCCTGTGTCATGTTTCTTAACTTCTGTTTACTGAAAATTCAAATTCAGGATTCATTATGATATTTCCTCATTTTCTGAAAACAGAAAACAGAATTACGCTTTTGTCAAAGAACACCAAAATATAAAATAAAAGAAATTTAATAGACGAATATGGTTTATGAGTGATTTGGAGCTTTACAGAGCCATTCCCCAGGTGTGAACTTTATTAGACCATACCTATTTCACATCCTTGAAAAAGATCTTTCTCATAATCGATAAGATTCCTTCACTGGATGTGCACTGCATTAGACCATGAATATTTCACATCCATTAAAAGGACCTTTCTATTAATCAAAAGATTGTCCTTTCGCTGGATTTGACCTCCATTCATACGTATTTCAATCCATTGAAACGACCTTTTTCATTATCTAAAAGGTCAATTCACTGGATGTGAACTCCATTAGACTAATATTATTTCACATCCCTTGAAAGGACCTTTTTGTATGTATGTATGTATGTATGTATATATATACACTGCACACAGCTGCGCGCGTGCGCTTCTATTTTATCCATCAATTTCAACACACATAAAAATCACTACTCACGTTTTCTGTTTTCACTTGAATAGCATTGATGCTGTGATATCGTACACAACATAAATATCAATCCCCTTGGAATAATGGCTTCCTTTTTACCCTCGCTTGGTATCTATGGTAACTATACGTAACTATAACTATGGTTAGGAAACCTATTCTTATCAGGTCTTTGTTCGCTTTTGATGTTGAACCGGTCTTGACAGTGCACAATGTTTGATTTAAGCTCATCCGAAATTGCAAAACAAGTAAACATAAACTTAGTCTATGGGATTGTTGTAAGGAATATTCAAATATCTCTTATATGAATCTTTAGGTATTTTGAACTAGCAGCCAAAAGAAAGAGTTTTGTCTGTTCACTTAGCCATTGCCAACAATGGTAAGACAATGGTAAAACAAAGGATTGTGCTGGGTCACGCTCGAAAAAAGTGAACAAAGACATATAACAATAGATTTCATAACCATTTCCCCCTATTAATTATGATGACAGTATAGGATAATACATATAAATATGGCCTAATATGCTTGCTTTCTATAAGAAAGAAATCTGTTTCACAGAAGAAAATATTCTAGTGCGTGCTTGCTATCATGGCTGCCACCTCTTTATGCAAATTAACTTAAATGGATGATACTAATTGCTCCTGTCAGCAAGGGAACAGCTTTGGTTTTGGAATTCGTATAATTTGACTTCAATTGACCAAGTTTACCAATGCTACAGTATTGTCTATACACTGTTAAAAATAAACGATTGAGTGCAAACCATATATTATTCTTATGATAGCCTTTGTGGTCCTCTGATATCCATGAGTGCTTAGTACTCACCAAGCCAAAATGAATAGGGAATAGAAATAAAGCAACGGGTTTGAAAGATGCAAATAACATCAGAGAAACTAAGTGTTACTAGTAGCAATTGGAGTTTCCTTATTAATAGTTATATCTTTGTCTTTTTTATTCCTGAGACGTAGCCATGTTTTTCCCCTCAAATGTAGAAGAAGCTGAATAAGAAAAAGCAACTGAATTGAATCACACTTGAAAATTATTGGAAAGAGTTGGAGTTGTCTATTTTAATCATTTCATTTCATTTCCTTGTTTTCTGTTTAAATCTTTTAATTTTTTGTGGCCCATGCTACTTGCAAATGCATTTTTTGTGTTAGCTAACTGTTGTTAAGGTTTCGTTACTGCCAACGTTGACACGTATAATCATTGTCGGACTACGTTTCAGATCATATTGCCACGTGCCTTGTCTGTAATGATACGAAAATATAGCAAGCAAAGCAGCCGTTCTTTTGGTAAATTTGGAAACGAACGAGAATTTAAACCGAGCAAAAAAGAAGCGACGGTTCCTTTTTTGCTAGGTTCAATTTTTTTCCCTCTGACGTATTTGAAACAGGAACCCCAAAAGCCCGATTCTTCCTCAAACCCATCACAACGAACGCCTGGTCTGCAGGCTAACAAAAATAGGATCAAATTTGGTAAGCA